TACTTTTAATATATGTTTATCATATATTTATTATATTTTTTTATTAAAATATTTTTATCATATAATAGTTATATAACTATCATATAATAAGCATAAATGGCAAAAATTCAAGTTTCTGCTAAGATTGTATTTCAATTAGAGCTGCATACCTTCGGTATAGAAATGCGGTAGAAATTGTTACGGCTTATGGCGTACTAGTTAAGATATAAACTTTGGCTAGTCATGGCTTAAGCCATTAAAGTTTCTACTGCACAGCAGAGATTAACTTCGACAATATGGCACTATCTCACTTCGTATATTGATTTTCAACTTTTATTTATACATATGTACTTTTATTTATTGATTTACATTTCTAAAATTGTATATACCGCATTTCTATGTATTTTGTTTCTCTTAATACGTTAACATATTTACTGCGGTTTTTAAAAGGTGTAAGAGAGTGAGTCAGCGTCAATATATTGAATATAAACGTTATGATTGGCTGGCACATCCCCAAACCAATATATCATGAGAAATCTACTTTTTAGTAGAGGTGAGGTTTATTTTGATTGATTTATGCTTATTGAAAACATACTGTTATACTAACTTTTTATATCTCTTTACAATTAGATATATATCATATATATATTTTTTTATAACTATATACCTTTAAGCCATATTTTTGTAGTTTCTACTTTATATAAATAAATGATTAGAATTATTTGCAATTCAGTTATGGCAGAAATGGCGGAAATCAACAAAATCTATGGTGGAAGTCTATGGTGGAAGTTCACAAAACCGAAGAATCATCTATGGCGAAAGTCACTGGGCGTTAGAGGTCTGATCCAATGAATAGTATATTCAAATATTCAATAAATATTCAAATATTCGACTATGGCGGAAGTTCACAAAACTGAAGAATCATCTATGGCGAAAGTCACTAGGCATTAGAGAATGAATAGTATATTCAAATATTCAATGAATATTCAAATATTTGAATATATAATTATTTTACTGAATTGAATATTCGAATCTAAAATTTTTCACCAAATAATTTATTGAATATTTAATGAATATATACTATCTAATCGACCAATTAAATGCAAGATTGGGTATATACTGATTTGTTAGCAATGCTAATAATGAGCTCAAAGTAGATGAACAAGATAAATCCTTATTAGCTAGAAGTTTCTCTATCGATTTATTTATTTTTTAATGTAGCTTGTAAGTATAAAATTCATTAGTTAGCTTATGTATTTAAACTCTCAATTATTCAATTTTTCCTATTTCATGATCATCTATATTCAATGAATATTCGAATATTCGTTTGAAATTTGCTGATGAATATTCGGATATTAAAAAGATTGAACGAATGACTAGGGAAATGTCTCAACAAAGAACTCACAAAAACCCAAGTGAGCTGGGAATTCTATCAAACCTCAGCTTCTCAAGCAAAAACTGATTAGATAACCTCTGTCGCTTGTCGGTTTTGGCTTTAAAGTTTATGTTGATAAAGGCGTGACCTGCTCGAAAGAAACACGAGAAAAAGAAAAAAAGGGTTGACAAAGAACTCGCAAAAACTCAAGTGAGCTGGGAATTTTATCAAATGTCAGTTCTTCGAGCAAGAACTGATTAAATAACCCCTGCTGCTTGTCAGTTTTATGCTTTAAAGTTCATGTTGCCAAAACGTGACCCGCTCAAAAAGAACACAAGAAAAAAAAGGTGGAAATAAAACAAAGGAAATAAAAAGGTGGAAATAAACAAACAGAAAGTATTGTAATATTATTAACATTATCTGGAATATTCTCAGAGAACGTTAAATACCTTCAAAATATCATAAACTTTCTGTTTTCGACCATAAAAATGGAATGTATATTAAAAAGTGTATCAAAAAAGAAAAAAAAGACAGATAGAAAAAAATAAAGGAAAAGATAAAGGAAAGGAAGAAAAAGTGTAGTATCAAAATAACGATAAAGAAAAATAAAAAGTGAAAAGTGAACCTTATATACTTGCAAACGTGTGAAATAAACACGCGCATTGTTTATTTTTCACAGTGTGCACATGTGCAGATCCTAATCAAATTGGATCCGCATAGGTGCGGGTACGTGAAAAATAAACACTGTATACGCGTATCGATAAAAACAGGAGAAATGACATCATTAGGTCAGGTAATATATCGATATCGTGTGAAATTAATTTATCGTCAAAAACTGTAATACGCTGGAATATAATAGAAGACACTCAGTTTCTATACAAAATTCTCGTTTTTGATGCTTTTTAATAAATGTAACATCGTTGCATGTTGTGTAATACAATAAATCTCATAACGGTTTCAGTTTATTACTTAAAAATTTCGAAAAATTTGTAAGAACCAAAAAAAAAGAGCGTTATTACTTTATAGAGTATTTTAAAACAAACCCGACAAGTATAATTTCATCTATGTAGGTTTGCTCGTTCAAGAGTTATTGCGGGTTGAATTTTACAGGTAAGAACGTTGATGTTATACGACATGGTGTGCAACATATAAAAAAATAAATTTACAATGCCAGATCATTCCGCTAGTACATGTTATAACACCATTTTTACTAATAAAAATGGTGTTGGATTATAATCATAACATGTACCAGCTGGTATTGTAAATTTATTTTTTTATATGTTGCACACCGTGTGAAAAATCTGTCGACGTTCTTACCTGTATATTTTATTATCACTACCGTAGATATATAAAAAATCTTTACTACGTATTATATAGAATTTATTATATCGATATGGTTTGTAAATTGACTGATAGGCCACACCCAATAATGTACGTAACATGTCATATTTATCATGAGTTACGAAAAAAAAAATACTGTTAACATATTGTCATTATAATTACAACAGGTTACTCCTGGATGAGTTAAATAAATTTATTAATTCCATCTTTTCGGTAAATAATGAAAGAACCTCACCTTAACCCGGGAAGGATATTCCGTACTTACCCATGGTCAACCCAATTAGCTATAAACGGATATTCTTCAAACTGCGGTTGACAAATCTTATAAACGGAGTTCATCATGTCCCCGAGATAGTTCAATGTAAAATCAGCCACCTTATTAGCCTAAAATAAAATCGACAATTCTATACATATATTACATTGATAAAAAAAAATTAGTGACACACACTTTGATTTTAAAGTACAGTACAATCTGGATCCGTTAGAAATAAAAGTTATAAATATCCTCGATTTAGCCTCAGGAATCGGTATGCTCTCAGACAATTAATAAAATGTGCGAATCCAATCCTCTATTCAGGATTTATTAATGTGAGAGTCCTGCACAGATGATATTACGAATCCCTCTACCGCTCAATCGTCTACCATGACTTCATCGGAGTTTGGACCTATGATTTTCAATATCCAGGTCCCTCTTCAGACATGCCTTCCTTGAGTTCTCAAGAGCCTTTTTATATTTACCAAACTTTACCGCCCTTGATGTTATCTTTCCAGAGTCTTTACAAAACTCGCTGACTTCTAGCAAAAACTCTATGCAAGAGACATTTTTGTTCTTTCCAAACTCCGCTAACATAATGGAATACATTTGATAAATATGATACCTTATTATCTCACGAGTCTAATCTTGACCCGAGACAACCAGTCTGAAAATGGTAGAAAACGCGCTTCCACTGGATATGATCTGATTTCTTTTGATGAATTCTTAAAAACGAAACGTAAAGGCACAAAAGAAACTGTTAGATCAGTAAAAAAAAACAAATACTTATCTCAAGTCCACAAAAAAGATCGGCTCTCTTATCAAACATGAAACAAATTCCAACATCAACACTACAACTGATGAAGATTCTTTGGCATCAAGCACGCGTTCAAAATCACCTGTGATTGATCTGAATACTATTAAAGCGATAATGGCTTCTTTGTCTGATACCACGAATCGAACTATCGAATCTTCTGGCACTACTAACCTTGTCAAAGGCAAGCAATCTAATGAAGATAATGCAGAAAGTCATGAAAGCTCATATTCCAATTCGAAATTACCAGTATCTAGTCCCAAGTCTTCGACTGCAAATTCTCAACCACAACCAAACCCGAAAGCGCAAAACGAGCAAAAAAAAATTGTACACAATGTAATTGAACGTCGTCATCGAAATAACATTAATGAACGGATTAATGATTTAAGAAATGTAGATCCCGATTTAAAAAAACAAAGATGATGACGTAATCGAAGAAGTAGATGATATTCCGGCCGCTACGAAAACAAGTAAAGATACTATTTTGAAAAAGCTACAGAATATATTGTATATCTAAAAAAGAACAATCTAAAAATCAAAAAAGAAAATATCATTTTAAAAAGGATTATTGCAGCTAACCCTGAAGCTATCGAGTTATTCGATGCTTATCTCAAGACTGAAAGTGAGATGGAGACTCCGCCGAATACACCTTTTGAAATTGACCCCTACTTATCTTCCATATCAATATAAACCATCAACTTCTCCCTTTGGAAATACTGGCTCAAGAGTATTGATGACTTTGTTCATGTGCATGACTTTTCTTATAGATTCGTCGGCCAAATCGGGTTCACATCATCATCATCATCATGAAGGACGTGTCATTGCTAGTAACAATAATGGATCAGTAGTTCCAGATGGAATTCATAGTTTATGGGATGGTATGATGATCGATATTTGGTATATATAAAATTTCCATTTTATTATCGTTATTATTATTTATTATTATTTATTATTATTATCATGGAAAACTCATGTGTCGTATGATTAAATAGGTATTTGATCAGGATCATTACTTTCCTTATTACTTATATCATCTGGCCATCTTTGTTTTCAATCAAAACACAACACATCCGCAAATCTGTTATCATTTCTCGTTTAGCTTCCAAAATTAAAGATGCAACGGATCTTTATTCGTCCCTTTCATCCCTTTTGAATATTTTGTCAATGAATACTTTGGGATTTGTGGCTGGTCTTTTTATTGAATCTTTAAGAGGATTTTTGGGGTGGGAAATTTTTTGTGGTTATGTTAACGTAGGCATGGATGAAAAATTGTTAGATGTTGAATTATGGGACCGACTTGGTGAAGTATTTATAATGTAAACTTATGAATTGATATATGATATCATTATTTAATTAAAATTTTTCTGATGTCTCTTATCATTTTTATTTAGGAAATAAATATGCCACTCGTCTTTCTATCTTATACACATGCTTTCGAACGATTAATCTTTTGGAAATCATGCTGATAATATGCCAGCCCTTATGCCAGCCCTTCCCGTATATATGTAAATGCCGCATTATAATGTTATGTTGAACTTCGTTCAGTTCCCTTTTTACGCCGTAGAGCTGTATCTCACTTCTGTGAACTGGCTATTAAAGAAAAAGGTTGTCTCATTTCTGAAGATAAATGGCTTGAAATCGCACTTATTGGAGATCAAAATAACGAAATCTTGGAAAATGTAGCCAATAGGATTAGTGATCATATTTTTCATTCATCAAAAAACGCAAAAACTCTTCAACCTATAGTTAGCACAACTATTCCACTCGTTTATGTTGCCGAAGTTCAAGCTCTTTTTCATATCAAGGAAGCCTTTTACAATCTTATTTCACGACATGACATAATTAAGATTCAAAAGAAAAGTAAATTTACTTTTTCCGAACTTCACAGTATTACCACACCTGCTTCTCTAGCGCATTGGTTTACGTTGATTAGATGTGTTGTCCAAGCTTTTTATGAGGGTAAAAATAATCTTGGCTCAAGTCTAGTAAACAAGTTGAAGGAAGAATCAATGACTGATGACAATTTGGATAAACAGATTATTATAATGAGTTTACTATCTCGATCTCTCTTAATTTGTGGTAAAGTTAAAGCTTCTATTCATTGTGCTGATAAAGATAAAGTTATCGGCGGTATATCTTTACGAAAAAATAAACAAATGGAAACTATGGAAACTGAAAAAATTTGGTGATTAGAGAGATTGTGAAAGATAATCAAGATTTAGTAGAATTTTGCGTTGGATGGATTGCTTTAGAAACAAATGTTGTTGTACTTGGAATTGTCGAAAATTTGTTATCAAAAAATAAGGTTAGAGAATTACCAAATGTACTTGAGAGAGACATTTAAGGTCTTCCATTGACATTGGCTCGTTATCTGCGTCGATCGACAAAATCTGACGTATTTGATAAAATTCCAAAATTAAAAGATTTATGAGGAAACTTGACGCTCTCGGAAGGATTGTGCCTGGCATCGATGAAGATAGTGACTCTGGGTGTGATTGTGACGATTACGATAAACAGAACAATAATGAGTATAAATTCACAAGAGCTTTACGTGTCTTAAAGGGCATGACACAATACAAGCAATATTTCGTCTTTTTTGATCGAAAAAATTGAAATCTGTAACATATTTTCTTAATAAGTCTCCCTCCCACTTTTATTAACTCAAAAATAAGAACCTATATTTTTTTTTTTTTACTCGAAATAAGTAAAACCCTTTCCCTTATTGCAATCGTTTTCATTTTAAAATACTCGAAAAAAAACGCAATTTCATTTTAATATGCTCGAAAAAAGACGCATTTAATATACCCGAAAAAAAAAACCACAAAAAGACGCACTTAACATACCCGAAAAAAAAACCCCCCGCATTTTTTTAACATACCCGCATTCCGATTTTAAATATCGATATGGCTATTATTTATTCAATTTCGTGTCTAGATAAATTTAGCATACTAGCAAAGTTACAGTATTAATGTAACGTTGTGTTGCTTAGGAATATCAATTTATTCTAGTTTTCAGGTACTATATTTTTTTTCTGTTAAGGTGGGTTATTTGTCATGTTTCGGATTAGATATGTCACAATTGATTCCTTGTTGCCTTTGGTAGTATGAGAAACCAATAAATTTCGTGTGAAATTTTAGGTTGAATGCAATCTGAAGATTTTTTTCATAACTCCTGTGCAGTATAACTACTTTTGAATGTTTAACACGAAAAAAAAATATATATTTATATATAATTCGTTCTCCACATCTAAAATGTTCGAATCGTTCACAACTTTTGATCTATATAGACGACAGCGCGCTGTAATCCCCCATCCTGAGTTTTTGGGATAAACAGATTTTTTTCAGGTTTAAAAAAATTCGGTATATATAAAATTGGATCGGGATCAATTAAATATCTGTGACGAAATTATAAACGAAACTTAATAAATTGAACGTGCTAAAAATAAGCAATTTAACAGTGCTGATAATGTACTATTAAAATGCAAACTTTTACAAATCTAAGCACTTTATTAGCATTTTATTGTTATAATTTAATTTTAAAATAAGCTATTTAAGTTTAAGAGTATTTATTACTTAATTTCATTTTATTCGATTAATATAGAGAAGTATAAAGAAAATTTATTAATCCAAGTATTTAAAATAAGCTATTCAGATTCATTACTATTTACTATCAATTTTATTTTGTTCGCGTTAATTTGAGTATAAAAAAAGAAATTTATTAATTTAAATGTTTCTATTTACTGAAAAAATAAAGTGATCATTCTAATGCACCGAGCGATTGGTGACCGTTCCTAGTTCCCAGGGTAACTACACCTGATATCGCTTCTACAGTAGAAGGGCCGTACTCCTCTTCAGATCTAATTTGGTTGTCAATTAGATCTATGCTTTTAATCCTAGAAAGATCCTTCAACAATAATCCCATCCTCCTAACACCAAGATCATTTGATTTAAATTTTATTGAAATTAATTTGGGATTATTTTGAAGGATCTTTGTTACTTTGATGATTGCCTCGTCGTTACAATTCATCAAATTAATCGTAACCGATGGTCTTTCTTTGCTACCTTTACAACATGGTTGTGTCAGTCGTCGTCGAGGGGATGTTGCTTCTTTTTTTTCATCTGTTTCAGATACTTCATCACTATGGTACCCACTTTTAGCGATTATTTTTTTGGGTGCATCCTCAAAGCTTTGATCGTTCTTTGTCTTTAAGATCTGTCGGGGACCTCAGGTTTAGAGACCTCCGAGGATGATCATATTGTTTTTTGATTCTAGACCAAGAGGCCCCACCAAAATAGTGATGTCTCATTTCTTCGACGATTTATCTGACATCACGCAGGGTGATAATTTGTATGGGGTGCATCCTCAACTCAGTCTCGAACCTGCCCTTTCCATACATACTTTAAACTATTAATTTGGGGCCAATTCTTGTCCGTAAAAGCCCACTTCGGGTTAATATTATCATTATTTTGTAGATATTTCGTAAAGTTCCATTATTTGCATATTCCATTACAAGATAATGCATTTACTTTTTCATATCTTAACCTGTTATGCTACGTTAGAATGATCGTTAGTTTTTTTTTCAAATAATCTCTTAAAACCATCAATGATATATTAGTTAGTGTTATCATAAAAAGGTGCCTTGCATATTTGTACAAAATATTCACCTCATTTGATATTTAATTTCGCATTAGGTGACTCTGTGAGTTTCGACCAGCTTTTCTTTTACGTATACTAAATTCTGAATTTAGATTATCATTTTATAGATTAATAGATGCGTACTAGTGAAACTACTATTGGTTAACGCGGTGAATAGGAAATTGATTACTAGTCTAAACTTACCCTGAAGTACATTTTCGTTTGCTGTTTGTAGTGACCTTAGTGTTCTTTTTTGTAAAAAAACCTCTAAAAGTTTGACAAACGCATTAAATGCTGGACCCATCAAATACTTCTTCTTTGATAATATCATTTGGAATGCGTAGACGTCCTTTTCTGGACCATGAGTAAGGAATCCCAAGTAAAAAAGAAGAGACCAAGTGATATCCTTTTCTCGTTTGTTTTGATTTTCTTTACGTTACACCTGATCACGATTTTTAATTGGTTAACTGATGTCGAGAAATCACATGAACGGAAAATTGATCCTGTCAATTTCGTGACAAAGAATCTAATTAATTTGAAGCTTTTATAAAACTTCTGACGAAGATTTCTCAATAATTACTTAATCAAATTTTTTTATTTTAATTCCATACCTCTACAGAATTAAAATAAAAAAAAGTTCATTGAATTTTGAATAGATGGCTGTCAAGAAATCTTCGTTAGAAATTTAGAATACCGAAGAAAAAACATCGGGTAAATTTTTCTTTTTTTGAATTTTAAACGAAGATTTCTTGACAACCATCAATCCAAATTCGATGAAAATTTTTTATTTTAATTCTATGAATTTATAGAATTAAAATAAAAAAATTTTGATAGCTGATTGTCAAGAATATCAAGAATATTCATTGAAAATTAAAAAAAAATTTTGGTTGCAGCTTTTTTTTATAGACGACTAAACTTTGAACAAAGATTACTCGGCATTTACCTGGTCAAATTCGATCAAAATTTTTTATTTTAATTCTGTGGACTTATAAAATTGAAATAAAATTTTGATCGAACTTGATCAGGTAAATGCCGAGTAATCTTCATTCAAAGTTTAGGCTAGCAGTAAAATAAAAAAAAAATAAAAAAAAAATAAAAAAAAAATAAAAAAAAAATAAAAAAAATCAGGTACAAAAAACGATTATCAAAAAAATCTTTAAAATCAGCTACACCTAAAATCTGCTTACAGGGCAATCCCCGGAATTCCTGCTCAGAATGCATCAGAGTTAAGGTAAGGTTGGTTAGATGCAATAAAACCACTACCGCTTTAACATAAGTCGCATTTCTGTGTTTAATAACAGCAGCAATGAAATCCAAGACTTGTTTTTTTTTTTTTTTTTTTTTTTACCAGGGTTTGGTTCGTTAGGGTTTCGCTGAGTTCCAACATTTGTCTTTCCAATTTTAAGCTTCGTCTTCGCCGAGAGATTTAGGCTTCGCCAGTGTTCGTCTTTTCCGGTCTTATGTTTGCCTTTCGCCATCATGCAGAGAGGGTTTTAACCTAACAACTATAGGTTATAGCGCTGGACATTACTGTCAAAATGGAAGGGGGACGATGAACATTTAATGTTGGGCCTTACTATCTATATGGTGTTGGGGCTGAAAAGAGACATGTCTTTGATAAATTATGTACTCTTTGCAATTAATCATTCTTTATGCCCTTCATTTCAAACTGATCGATATTTTCTTTC